CCAGTGATCACACTGGATCTTGTGCCTGCGCATGCCAGTGAGAAGCCACATTACCTGTGGCTAGCGATAGAAGAGCATAAAGCATCTTTATAACTGAGGTTTCCAATGGAAGCAAAGAAATGCATAGGTGGGCTTATGGACTTTATGCCTCTGTCCTTGCTTGATGCAATCACGCCTCTTTTCCCCATGAAAGTACAGGTGTCCCAAACTCTTTAAAGGTTTGCATTATGCCACTTTGTTATTACAAAGACCTACCTGTTTTTTATTCACTGAAAGAAATTGGAAGATTTTTGCTTTTACAAAAAAAAGGCAAAAAGCTAAAATGGCGTTCAGCATTTGTTTTGCAGCGAGCTATTCTAGAGGCTCCTCAAATCCGGAGTGCCCAGAGCCATGCTCTTTCCCCGGGGAATGCACTCAGCATCTCAGTGTCAAGCCACCAGGGCTTTGAACTGTGTCTGTGAGGATCTATTTATCTCCGTTTACTTGGTCCATCCTTTAGCAAGATGTGTCCTAAGGTGTCAGAAAAGCCTAATAGAGGTGATTTTTTGGGGTCTGGGAATGCTCAACAAATTTTCCATATAAATTAATGGTTGTTTCTTTGCTTTACACCATTTCATTCGTGAAAGGTTCCATAGCAACGCTCTACTTTCAGATAGCGGGGGAAGGGGGTGGGGGGGAGAGCCTGAAGTGGCCTTTGAGATGGACAGTTAGACCTCCTCCTTTGGAGCTCCATCACCTGGTGGGCCCAGCTCTTTGAGCTGTCGTGTGTGCTTACCTCTTCCCACCCCGACACTCTGCTGTCTGGGGTGGGACTGTGGGTTTATGTATTTCCATAAACCCTGGCTGTGTTGAGCACAGGGCATGAAAATAGATGTGAGATCAGTGAGCTTTGGTGGAATTTAGTGTAGGTGTTGATCATTGTACAGATTCCACCCCACAAGAAAGGATAACCTAATTTTCGGGTAATGCTTTCAAAACCATTGTGGCAACTTTCTGCATAAACCCCGACAGCAAGAAGGCCGTAACAACCTGCCATTGCGGGGATTGGAACAGTTAAATTAGTTTTACACAGACGAGTATTCTTTCGTCTCACGGTTGGTTGAAGGACCAACTTTGGGGTTTCAGCATGAATACAAGCGGTGGCATAATGGATTCAAAATCCTGACAGTTGATGCCACTTGGAGAATATAGTTTTACGCCACTTCTAAAGAGATGGAAAGAATATTTCTTAAACCCAGGACGAGGTGAGTATCTCATTTTCAGCTACCCTGCTGGAAAGTAGAAACCAGCTAACTGGAGACATGTGCCTTCCCTGGGCTGTCCGCTCCGGGCCTCCCAGCAACATTTGGCTGCATCGTTGTTCCAGCATCTTCCAAAGGAACTGAGCCTGCCCTTCTCCCAGATAGCAAGCATAACTAAGGCAGTAGCATCACGTTGTATGCCAACTGCACTTCAATAATAAACAATAATAAAAACTGAAAAAGAAAAAGAAAAGAGTAACCCAGGTAAAAATAGTGGGAAGTTGGTCTCCTGTCAGGGTCCGTTCTGTGCTCCACCCCCACCCCCCCCACCCCCCCCAGTGGTTCACAGAGCATTTCCCCTCCAGCTGCTGGGGGCGACGAAGGGGCCCAGAACTATCCCCAGAGCAGGGAGCCACCATGTGCCTATTTAAGAGAAATGAACTGCTCCTGTCTAGTCACGTTTTGTACTCAACAAAGACTTCCCTTTCCACGTTGTTTGAAAACCAGTATCTGTATCTAAAGTTATAGAATCCAGTAACCTGCTCCCTTACCTCGAAGAGGGTGCTGAGCCTCCGGTGTTAGGGAATGAGTTCTTGGAGCGGGTTTTTGGCTGGCAGGCGCGTGCCCACCCAGTGCTGACGGTACACGGGCCTTTGCAGCCCGCCCACCGCAGCCCTGCACATCCTGGGGGGTCATTTCGGCCTGCCGTGATCACTGGGCTCCCGTTCGCCTTCTGTTCTAAGGAGGCTCAGAAATGTGTTTCTGGCACATGCCTGGGCTCCAGTAGCTTTTGCTTCTGCTCCAGACAACAGCGAACTTTTGAGAAAGGAGTGTAAATTATGGACCAGCCTTTCACAGAGCCCAGGACAGACTGTGTCTTGTCTTTTAGAGGAAGGCAGGTGGCTCATCCTACCTAGCCTCCTGGGCCCTTGGGTTGCTGTACTCTGTGAAGCCGAGGAAAGAAGATGCTATTTAATTGCACTGTCTTTGCCTTGCCCTGGCTTCTACTGTTTGGGAGAGTGAATGCACTTACTTTAACCAGACTACACACAGGAGGGGGTGGGAGCAGGTAGGCACTCGCTAAATGTCAGCGGCATTTACCAGTCAGGTTGAAGACAGTGCACGTCACAAGGAGCTTTCCCACTCCGCTTCCCTGTAAGATTCCTGTCTACTTAAAATACTCCCCTCCCTGCCAAAAATGATGTCGAGGAGTGATTTTACAGGGATTCTGCACATCCCCTAGCACAGCCTTTTCTGCCAAGGGTTTGTGTTAAAATGTTACATCTTTAACTCGTTATCCAAGCCATTGTTTCCTGAAAGCTTTGTTAGGATTTACAATCTGACTTGAATAAACCCAGTTAAATCCTTTAAGGAAGAAAAGAAAAGGCAGTTCCAGGAGGAATTACACCCTGGCCTCTCTCAACAGTGCTGGGACCTTCCCCAGGCCCTGGGGCCCCGGCCGGTGACTCCGAGCCTCACCTTGACTGTTTTATCTTGCCCCAGATATCGCTCACGGCCTCACTGGGGTGCCCCGGAAGCAGGCCGGTGTGTGGCCTGAAGCCGACTGGGGAGCCTCTGGTCTCTGTGCTTGTTCTTCCCTCATTCACAACAGCTGCCCTTTTCTGTTCCTATCACACCCTCGTGTCTGGGGTCTTCCTGCTGCCCTCCAGCTCCACAAATAATGTCATCTTTCCTCATTTCCTCCCCACTTCCTCCCCACCTTACAGCACAGTGATATCATTTCCTTCCCACCTGGAATGCCAGAGCCCTCGATGAGCACTTGGGCCCCCGTGACTTCCGAGCTCCGTGATCTGGTTTGACCCTTGGCTCTCCCAGTTATTTTTCCTCATCCTTATAATGAGGAGATCGGAACACATGACTGTTATCCTAGCTGAAAACTTCTGAGTCTTGAGAAGCTTTTTTTGTCTTCTCTTGGCCGGTCAGATGAAGTACAGAGAGGCCCACTCCAGTTCCTGTGTGACCACACAGAGGGTCCTGGGCAGGGTCTGGGGGTTGGGGGGGTCGTGCCAGACCACACTGTACCGGGTGGCTGAGGCCACGAGGTGTGGGTGGGCAGTTGGGTGTTCTGGATGATTAGGTATGGACTTTGCTAGATCTGCCATTCTCCATTTAGATTATTATGTTTTCCAGTGACTTAATCATAGCAAGGTTAGGTCAATTGATGATCAAGATGAAAAAGCAATGATATTTTTTTTTACATCAGTAGCCAGAAATCATGATAGCTTCTCTCTGCACATGCTGTTTTTTAAAAAAATAAACTCTTTAGTTCAGCACAGTTTTAGACATACAGAAGAATTGTAGGGATAGTACAGAGAGTTCCCATAGACTCCACACCAGCTTCCTCTTTTGCGAGCACCCTACATTAGTGTGTATGATCAGTTACCGCTAGTGACCTGGTCCCCATACGACTAATGCCTGTACTTTATTTAGATTTCCATAGTTTTCCTCGGGGTCCTTTTTCTGTTCCAGGATCCCATCCAGGATCGCACATGACATTCAGTTACCATGTCTCCTCAGGCTCCTCTTGCTTGTGACAGTTTCTCAGACTTGCCTTGTTCCTGAAGGCCTGGCATCTTGAGGAGCCCTGGTCAAGTGTTTTGTAGAATGTTCCCCATCTGCAATTTGTCTGCTATTTTTCTCATGATTAGATGGGGGTTATGGGTTTGGGGAGGAAGATCACAGAGGTCAAGTGCCCTTCTTGTCGCATCCCGTAATCAAATGTTTGTCATTGTTGATCGTGGCCCCCTGGTCAAGGTAGTGTTGGTTAGGTATCTGCACTCTTTTCTGCCCTTCCCACACGGGCCTCTGTGGAAGGAAGTCATGTGGGCAGGCTGCTTATGGCTGGGGAGCTCTGTTCCATGTCTTTGAGTATGGGCACTGGCATCCTGGCCCCCTCAGGATGAGCTGCCCAGGCAGGATTGGCCTGTTTATTGGCAGACAGTGAGTGGAATGCTGGCCCGGGGTGTGGTCCATGGTGTGCGCTCATCCTGGGGCCCACGCTCGGCTTGCTCCGGGTGACGTGGGTTGGCTGACCGAAGCTGTTGGTGAACAGGAGCCCTCTCGTGATTCGTGCTCAGAGGTGGATCCTCTAGCGCATTACGCTAACATTTTAGTCCAGAAGAAAAGGGCTTCCTGGAGTAGTAACAGTTACCAAAAACCCTGACTTAATAATAATTCAGCATTTTTTCTGCTCTGGACCTAACTCTGTGTTAACGTAAAAGTGGAAGCTGCTTGGTTCTTGCCCTCAGGGGGATCCCAGAAAGGTCTAAAAAAGCATTGCCATTGCTATTTAAGGCCTCTGGGTTTTAATAATTAAAATATGGTTGGGTTTGCCTTCCATAACATTATACTTGGAATAGCATCTTGTTTTTTTCTGGGGAATTGCATGATTATCGTGGGCAAGAACAATGTCATTAATTTGTATTTCTCATACTGTGTAATTCCTGCCCATAGGAGGCTCTCCCTTAAGAGCTGCAATAAATGTGGAAGCTCAGAGACCTCAAAGTCAAGGCCGCTGGGGGTATTGGCCTCCCGGGCAGTTCTGTCTATGCTGGTTAGGCCTGAGACGGGTGGAAATCATAGGCGGATGTTCTGACAACCAATTGTGGAATTCTGAGATTTAAACTATTTTAGCTGTCAATGACAGTAAAGGACGTGGTGGCTGTCTGTGTTGCGATAAGAGGGGGTTAATGGGATGAAAGGCAATAATAAACACTTTCGTTCTTTTTCTCTAGCACAATGGGGTGCAAAGTTCTGCTCAACATCGGGCATCAGATGCTGCGAAGGAAGATCGTGGACTGCAGCCGGGAGGAGAGCCGGCTGTCTCGCTGCTTGAACACTTTTGACCTGGTGGCACTGGGGGTGGGCAGCACGCTGGGTGCTGGCGTGTATGTCCTGGCTGGAGCTGTGGCCCGTGAGGACGCGGGCCCCGCCATTGTCATCTCCTTCCTGATTGCAGCGCTGGCCTCGGTGCTGGCTGGCCTCTGCTACGGCGAGTTTGGCGCTCGGGTCCCCAAGACGGGCTCGGCCTACCTCTACAGCTACGTCACAGTCGGGGAGCTCTGGGCCTTCATCACTGGTTGGAACTTAATCCTCTCCTACATCATTGGTATGTCCCAGGAGGCCTGGAGCCTGCCCCCCTTCCCCTCTGCTCTTCTTACCTCCAAACCACTCTCCTTTGCTCCCCGAGTGGACTGAGTCTAGCTCCTCCCTAGGATTGGCCTCCTCCCTTGACTATGTATGGTACACATTCCCTTTCCCTTATTAGGAAAGGCAGGGGCTGCCTCGGGGGTATCGCTGCTCCTTCTGGTCTGTGCCCCTGATTTGAATGATAGGTGCAGTGAACTGTTAGTGGGGATGAGCCAGGCCAACAAGGAGGTCAGTCCTGTGAACACGAGAGACGTAGATTCAGTGGAATGTTCTTACTACTTAAGAGGAGTGTAGTCCCTTTCAGTATTTTTGATTACTGATTACTAGAGTAAACATAGCACTTATACAGAAAAATTTGGGACATATACAAAAGTGCAGTGCAGAAAGTAGACATTGCCCAATCTGACAATCCAGAGAAATTGTTATTCATTCATTCTTTCAACAGATATTTATTGAGCCCCTCCTCTGTGCCAGACATTATGCTAGATAGTAGGAACACAATGGGAGAAGACAATCTCTGTTCATAAGAGTTTAGGGATCTAACTATTGTTAATATTTTTATCAACTTAAACGTATATTTTTTGTCCAGTATGTCTCTTTATTTATAAAACAATATATAGTAAACATTTTTCATGGTATTAATGGTTTTTCCATAGTAATATTCCAAATGATTGCATATCATTATATAGTTTTATATACATAGCATACTTTTTTGGATGTTCTTGTGGGGTAGATTGTTTCCAGTTGTGTTATTATTGTTATAAACAGTTTAATGTCATTTAATGTCTTTGCGCATAGCCATGATTTTTTTCCTTTAAAATAGTCTAAGAAGCAGAATGTGTAGTCAGTGGGCCTGCGTATTTTTAAGGTCCGTGTTGCCTGTGATCCTCCAGATGGCCACGGGCCCCCTTTCTCACATACTTGCTGACCCTGGGCACCGGCATTAAAAACAAACAACCAACAAACAAAACACTGAAATTATAGTCTTCTTAGTTTGGTAGTTGAGAAGGTATTGTTTCTTTTGATGTTATTTGTATTTTGGTTACAACCGAGGTTGAATACGTCAACTTAAAAGAGACAAACACCTGAATATAAAATAACCAAAGGATATGAATGGCCAATTCCTACAAGTAGAAATATAAATAGCCACTGAACATTCCATTTATATTTCAGCAAGCTTTTTGTAACATTTTCAAAATACAGTAAGATGTGGTAAGCGGGTCGCAGTGCGCTCCTGTGTACCCCATACTAAGAATGACATAGGGGACTGTGTGCAGCCTGCTAGGACGCAGGCCCCCGGGGCCATGGGGGCACCTGCTGCCACTTGCCCAGGCCAGCTGGCGGAGGGCTCCCGCCAAGCTCTCTGAGCAGCACCTTCTTTCCCGGAGCCTGTGGTACCTAATGACTGCCAGCATAGGTTATGCTTCTCTAAGTTCAAAAATAAAATTCATAATAATGTTGTTTTTTTTTTTCTTTTCAGTACAACACTAAAACTTAGAACCACAAATGCTCATTCATGCAAGCTCAAGTCTCTGAGCAGGAATGTAGCTGTTGTTACATGGGCTGTTATGTTCCCAGAGGATTTGCCTGGGCATAAAACAAAACCTGAGCAGGAATCACCCTCTGCTTCCAGACCAACAAATGAAAGCTTCTTTGCCAGAATGCTGTTTGCTTGTGTGATTGACTCGTGCATGTGTTACTGTGGGGGATTCTCAGCCTTAGATTTTGGGGAAGGGCAGTTTTTCTCAGCAAACATGAGTTTTGTTAAAGCTAGGTTTCAAAGATGAGGAGTGAGGGAGGCCAGGAAGGAAGGCCAGGCAGCCCCACTCACCTTCACGGTGGGCTTCAGAGCATGATCAGAAGTGAGCCGGCTTCTTTCGGGGAGGGGAGGAGGCCATTTTCCTCCCCTGGGCTGTGGCCTTGATGGACAGAATTCATAATAGCCTGGATGCTGAGGATGAAGAAACATGGCTAAATTTTTGAGTTGTTGGACAAATACTTGGTATGAGACCCACTAGCAAGATTGAATCTGTGTAGTTCCTCTGGCCATATTGTGTGGATGATCCAGACCACAGTCACCAGCAAGGCCCCCTTTGAAAGTAAAGGAAAATGCTATATGTGAATATTGGAATTTTAGTAACATTTCCTTGAAAAGCAGTGACTTTATTCAGGTTAAAAGAGAGAGCATGCAGTCAACAGTTGTTGGCATTTGGGGTGCTGTGTCTGTTTGTGATCCTCATGGCAGGGGGTGTGGTACGGAGAGGAGAGAGCTGGGCTGTCTGTGGTCAGGCACTTGGGGACCTGGTGTGAGCCCAGGTTTGGGCACAGAATAGCAGAGGTGGCTGGTGCTGGCTCTGGGGTGACCAGGTGACTGTTGCTGATGGGAGGGTCAGCACATGTGGATGTCCTTGGTCCCCTCTTGCTGGGAGAACAGCATTCCCGGGTGGGTGGGGACCCTCAGCTTTGCTGTCAGGAGGGTCTTGGAAGAGAAGCTTCCTGAGCCAGACGTCTCAAGCTGCCTACCACAACCCATGAGTGGATCATGAAATCAACTTCATGGTTTGCCACCAGTATTTCTTTAATAATGAAATAAAATAGGTAGAGTTGAATAAATACCACCAGCGTGCTTCTCATGTGGTAAGGTTAATAGCACTGGTTTGTGAACTGTTTATTATTCAGTTGTATACTTGGAACATGGTACCCACGCCCATATTGGGTTGTGATGGAAAGTGTTTCTCTCCAGGCCCGTGAAGGCTCCCCAGCCTTGTCACTTCACTGCAGGCACTTATTGAGCCTCACTTCTGAGCTAGCACAGACTGGGGTCCAGCTGTCACCGCCAAGTCCCAGTGCATCATCCGTGATCCCTGCATGGAGGCTGCAAAGTTGAGCCGGATGACAAATACTGTTCATTGTTTTCTTTCAATTTCCTCTGGTGCGTCTGTTTCATGGCAGGTACTTCAAGTGTAGCAAGAGCCTGGAGTGCGACGTTTGACGAGCTGATTGGCAAACCCATTGGGGAGTTCTCGCGGACGCACATGGCTCTGAATGCCCCCGGAGTGCTGGCCGAAAACCCAGACATATTTGCTGTGATCATCATTCTCATCTTAACAGGTAAAGCCACACAGTGGGACACGTCCAGTTGGAGCGAGGGGCCTGAGGTGCCGGGCAGGTTCCCATGGGGCCTGTTTCTAACTTTCCTCATTCTCCTTTCCCCTCCTTTTGTTTCTTTCTGTAACGAATGCAGACGTCTCGTTGGTCTTAACGGCTTCTTGTACACACAGGGTGGGCCCGTTGAATAGCTATCAAAGCTGCGTGTCATTTAATTTAAAAAGAGTCTCTGGTGTTTGTACAGCTGTTTGTAGACTGGGATTTTGTTAGTACGGTAGGCTTTTTGTACAAGTGACCCAGGAATACAAATTCCCTTGACTCAGTGGAGGAGCATTTGGAAGGGAAAATGGTATTCTTCAGCGGGGAACATAGAGGGGAACATGTCAGTCTGGCGCACCAGTGTGTGCCTTGGGTGCTGGAAAAGTCTTGGATGGTTTTGCACCTAACAGCCATCAGAACGCCCATTAAAAATGTTTTACAGGGCACCTGGTTGGCTCAGTCGGTTGAGTGTCTGCCTTCGGCTCAGATCATGATCCCAGGATCTGGGATCGAGTCCTGCGTTAGGCTCCCTGCTCACTGGGGAGCCTGCTTCTCCCTCTCCCACTCCCCCTGCTTGTGCTCTCTCTCTCTCTGACAAATAAATGAATAAAATCTTTAAAAAAAATGTTTCATGACAGAGTCACGGGTACAGAATTTTAAAATTCCAGATAGGGCTTGAGCACGGCTGAGGGCAGCTTCTTAGTGACGTTTATCTGTGTCCCGGCCTCTAGGATGGGAGTTTTGTTCCATGTGACACTTAACTGTCTAAGCATTAAGCTGAATGCAGATAAATTCCCCTTTGAGATTAGAAGATCTTGGATGGGTTTTAAAAACACCATGCCTTATTTTACGCACCATGTAATTGAAATCATCTTGCACAGGCCAGTCTCAGCAGTATTTCTGGTCCAGCTGGCTGGAACATGTATCGGAAATTAAGTTTGCACTGGGGAGATTTTCATAAACATGAGAGGGAGGGACGCCAGAGAGAAACAGAGCACAGCACGAGGAGGTGTTCCCTGCGATTAATTGCTCACTTCCCTTCTAGCACCTTCATTTCAGAATTGAATCTATTGTGAAATGCATTTTTTATTTTAAGTGTATAAAAGGTGCACCTGGCAGGGCAGCAGTCTCAGATCAGAAGTGACCACCTGTTACCTGGACACCTTTCCATGTCTCTTTTCTTCCCCAACCAGGAGTTTAGCCACAGAAGTCCCCAAATGGCACGTTTACCCCCAGGTGATCATGTGGCCTAAGCCTCAGAGACAGTGTTGTCATGTGGTTTCTGTGTGTTTTCATCACTTGGGTCTTTTTAATTTTTTTATGTGAGTTTATGATCTATAACTTGTCTAGCTTAGACATTGTTTTACGTGCACTGAGTCCGATGACGAACCTCATGGTTCGTGGTTCCGTAATCACAGAAAGTTGTCATTGCTCATACCGCTAACGTTGCAGGGTGAATCTGAATAATTTTCTCATCTGAAAAACCCTCATTCTACCAACAAAGTGAACCAAATGTTGTCTCCTCCTTGGAGAAAAAAAAACCCCACTGCCTCCTCAGGGAGTCCCAGGAAAGTATGTTAGTGAGGGGAGAGGGTGACGAGAGAGACCTTCTCTTCATCCCTGGGAGGGGCTTGCACTCCAGGGTGGTGGGCTGTGCTGTTCCCCATCGCTGCAGTCCTTTGGTGCCCCCTGGCTGGCATCCTCAACTCCAGAGGGGGCCTGCAGGGCCAACTTTGATAGCTTTGTGAACCACTCCGTGGACTTTGGTTATTTTGATCCCTGCCTCTAGAAAGATGATTAATTCAGCCCCATTCCCAGAGGCTCACAAAAATCTTAGGAGGTTTGGTGCTGCTTTGATTCTTCTTAAGTCACGCTCTCTTCCCACCCCTGTCCGTGTCCTAGGAAGGACTCGCCTGGCACAGAGTTCACACCATCAGGCGAAATTTTCTTGCTTGTGCACTTTTTCAGGACTTTTAACTCTCGGTGTGAAAGAGTCGGCCATGGTCAACAAAATATTCACTTGTGTCAACGTTCTGGTCTTGGGCTTCATAATGGTGTCAGGATTTGTGAAAGGATCGATTAAAAACTGGCAGCTCACAGAGGAGGATTTCCAGAACACATCCAGTCATCGCTGCTTAAACAAGTGAGTTGTTTCTTCTTTCTCTTGGCATGTGACAGTTGATTCGTATTTGGTATTTAACAACATACACATATATTAGGGGTATGCATTTGGCTAGAATACTACGTGCCTTTTTAAAAAATGTAATTTGAATTTGAATTAATTTTTTTGTGCAGTAAAATAGCCGAGGGTGTTTTTTTGGTTTGAAATTTGTGTCAAGTTTCATTTCCCTGTACTCGACAGTATATTGTCTGATAAAGGAAGGTATTCAGGAAAACAAAATCTTCATTCTAATTCTAAAACTGTATGTAGTTGAAGATCGTTGTCAGACTCACTAAGTAATCTATTTTCCTCATATTCTATTTCATGACCAACCTCTGAATTTTGTATTCAGAAAAGATTTTCTCTGCAAAATCATGGTGCTATCACTTGATTATGAAATGCCTTCCTGTTAATAACATAGATGGAAGAAGAAATACGTGGGACTTTTATCACAGGCTTTTATCAAAGGTTTTCAGAATTACTGAAGTATCAAAATATGATTATATTAGTCTTTCTCCCACCCTCGATTTGGGGTGCATCAGCCCTGAAAACCAGTGGCCCCATCTCCTTATAGTCTCTGACTCAAGACACCCAGGATTGGAGGCAGGTGACAGGCCAGCTCTTGGACCTGTGCTTTTTTAGGACCCTCAGTGATGCCTCATCAACAAGCTCTGATTATCTAGAAATCAAAAGCCAAGCAATTAGAATGTATCTTGTGGATCTCTTTTGGTCAGATTTTTCAGGTGAGTGTTAGGGTCCTAGGATGGAGAACGGGGGGTGAGATTTTGTCTATGATTCTGTTGTATTTACAACCAAAGCTTACACAGCTCTGATAAGGAGACCCTCCTAAAATGCAGTGGCTTTAAAATGATGTCTCAGATCCTGACGTGAGTGGACCAGGTTGACTGGCCAGCGTGGCTGCACCCAGGCTTTCGGGGGATCCACCAGATTGTTCCGTCCTACCCTAGGATGTGGTCCTCCTCTGCATGGTCAGAGCTGGGCTCTCCCAGAGGGAAAAGGGGTACGGAAGAGAGTGTGCCCCGTGCTTTCAAGGGCAGATCCAGAAGACACATGTCCCTTCTGCCAACATTCCACTGGTGAGAATCCAGTAGGTTACCACATCTAGCTGCAAGGGAGACTGAGAAACGAGGTCGTCCCACACTGGGGATCCAAGTGGTCACATGTGAGCTTGGTCTCTGGTTAAGGCCCAGCCATATCTTACAGTGGTCTGGTCACTGGACAAGCATCAGTGTGTGACTAGTTCACTACTGCAACACAAGCAGGAAAACTATTGAATTGAATGCATGAAATATTATGTGGTTAACAGTTCAAATAAAAAGAGCCTTCCTTTTGGAGACTAAACTATTACAGAGAAATGAGAATTTTTTATTTTCTTTTTTTAAGTAAGTTCTATGCCCAACTTACGACCCCAAGATCAAGAGTCGCATGTTCTACTGACTGAGCCAGCCAGGCATCCCTGAGAAATGAGGATTTTTAATGTAATGTTCCTAAGCTTTCCTGAGTCCTATTTATGCCAGATTCATTGGTGCTCATTATCTCAGGGTAGAGTAAAACCAGTTCAAACTAAGCTTGGGAGTAACAGTAGATTTTGAAAACTTGGGGAGATTCTCTTGATGGTGGCTGTTTATAGGTCAGGAATTAAATCTAGATGGTGTGTCTTGTTTCCTGGTGGTCAATGGAGATTGAATTTTATTGTTTTTATAAAGAGTGCCAGCCGATGGTCTTTACTGTCTTGGGTTGTCCTCCCACTTTGGGTCCTGGCTCTGAGGACTGTGCTATCTGTCCCCAGCCCCCGGAGCACTGCCTCTGAGGTAGAGAGGGCTGCAGGTCTGGGGCATGGCTTGCTCTTTCATTTTATCAAAACCTAGAAACTGCTTTCTTCCTTTTTTTTCCAGCCGTAGATTTGTATTTTCGACCATGGCCATGTAGTCTTGCATGAAATTGCTTGCCTCTCTGAAATAATAGATCATTTCCCAACCAAACCACGCAGCATGAAGAGCTTGAGCCTGCAGTTGATGGCAGTTCTCACCACACTGGGTTGTGATTTTATGATCCGGTCTCCATGACTGGCTGTAAACGCCCCAGTGAACCTGGAGTCTGTCTGTGTCTTGGTCTGGAAAAGTGATGTTACCTGGCAGTCTGGCCGGTTCCCTGTGGTCTTCGTCTCTTGCTACCTCTGGCTTTCTGACCCAGAGTCCCGCGGACAGGGAACACGTGTAGTAAGTGTAAAGCTACGTCATGACATGGAAACCTGCCGGGAAGGTTTTGTTGCATGGTTTCTCGTCAGGTAGGATGGAAACCCAAAAATAACATTGGCTTCCACAAGATAAATGTTAGTTCTCCTATGTCAACATCTGCAGGTGGTCGGTCTGACGCATTGCTTTGGTGGGCCAGGAATCTAGTTCTTCCATCTGATGGCTTTGCCCATCACCCACATTCCCAACGTCACTCCAGGGTCCAGGATGGCTCCCAGCAGCAGGAAGGAAATGAGAAAAAGAGAAGAGCAGCCTCCCTCTCCACTTCATTCCCCTGATGTTTCTCAGGAGATGTATGCACTGTGTCTGCTTAAATCAAGGGACTACACCTTGTAGCCGGAGAGTCTGAGAAACATACCGTCTTTATTCTTTATCCACATCTGGCTAAAATAACTAAGTTTTATTACCGTGTAGAGGAAGGGAGTATGGCTTTTGGGGACAACTGGCAGTGTATGTCAGGGTGGCAGATGGACGTTACAAGAGCAGAGTCTTGGTGCCGGATGCTTTCTACTGATGCAGTGGGAAAAGACCACGCAGGGGAGAGGACACCACTCTCACCACCGTGGATGCTCCCTGTCAAGTCCTCACCCTGGGCTCGGGGAGGTGGTGACCACAAGACAGCTTTTCCTTCCTTCCTCCCACTGCCAGCTACCCTCTTTTATTAACTCCTGGGTAACCGGCTGAGTGGCATGCAGAAGAGCTGGTCAGCCTGGCTGTGGGGGAAGGGGCACCGAGCTAAGGTCTGGCTTCAGCCTGCTCTGTCGCCACGTGATGTTTGCCAGGTGGGGTCACGGCAGCCCCTGAGAGGCTGCCTCCCTATTTCTTGGTGTGTCAGTGGCTAGATGCCAACTGGGCACAACCATCACATCCAGGTAACGGGCCAGTGACTGATTTACATAGAGAGCCTTTACAAAACATTTCTAAATGTGTTGGTTTGAGGCCATATAGATTAGGTTCTATGACTGTTTCATAGTGAGGCACTGCCCCTGAGAGCAGAATACCCAAGTTAAACGTCAAATTTAATTTTTTGAGTAGATAATATTTTCTCACGGTTCATTTATCATGGTGTTATAAAAAGGTTTACACTGAGAATTTTTGTTTCCATTTCATTCTCCCAACGCCCCCCCATGGGTAATCATTTTTATTATTTCTGTGTGTGTAAGCTTCCAGCTTTTATTTGTATAAACACAAGCAATTACAAGTATATATATTTATTTTGTATATTATGTATGTAACTTATATACATAATTTATGTGTATAGTCCCGTCTCTTCTTACATACAAAGTAACATTCTCTCTCCACTCTTCTGCACCTTGCATGTTTCCCTTACTAGCATATTCCACAGGCCTTTTCCTACTGGTATCTTGTCCTTTGTTGCAGTACAGGTGTCCCGGCACCCATGGAGTGATGGTGACCCAGCTGGAGGAGCACCCACAGTTGGTTATCACAGTCGGTGGCTCCCCTTCCATCTGATTCCTTCCCCCATTATGGTCGTGAGGAGCAGGGGAGGATGGCCTTGTTTTGTTCTAGCTCTCCATAGTTCTGTGCTTTTATTGTTATTCCTGCTTCACCTGGCTGCGTGATGGAGGCGTGCTCTAGCCTTAGTCCTCTCCTGCAAGGCCTGCCTCTTTCTGGGGTTTAACATATGTAACGTCAGTCCTGACACTCATTTATTCTTCGCGGCTGTTCCATAGCCCTTGTTAGAGGGCTTGTGGAAGCAGGTAGGCACCTGGAGGCCTTCTACACCTATCTGTCATGGCAGGGCCAGGGGAGCTGGGCCCAACTCAGGGTCTTCGCGAAAACCTTTCCATGTTCTAATTGTGGTCAGAAGTTGAAAGGATCTGCCAGGAGCCACTCTGAAGGCATCTTGATTATGAGTCCCCGTTTCCCTCATCCCCCTCTCTTGAGCTATTTGACTGTCAACTGTTTTGTTGTAGACTTTGGCCTAAAACTTTTTATAATAGGAGTCAGTTCACCTGGGCGTCTGTGTTATTTGTGATTTATGGATGCGGTGGGCGCATCCTGTGCCTTGCTGACTTACTTGTCCTGGGCCGCCATTTTTGTACTTGGATTGTGGGTAACTTGCCTTTGAGTCTGGCAACAATTTTTCCTACATCTCTCACTTGTGTGTTTCTTGGGGTTTTCCTCATGTTGCTACTTACTGAACTGCATCGAATCCCAGACTGAGGACGTCCTTCATGCTCTGACTTCCAGATTCTGAAACCAAGGATCCTCTAGAAATCAGTACAAGGCTCAGTCCTCATTAAGAAATAATTGGGACCAAAGTGGCTCTCTGTTTTATTAGTCAGTTGATAAATCCCTCTGAAAGCAAATTGGGCCAATGAGTTGCTAACCCAATTAACATCTGTTTATAGGACTAAAATATTATATATGGCTCTTCCTAGGAAGTCAAGTGGTTTGGGGCAGGTTGCCCTGCAGAGCTGGGCAGTTGTCAGCCTGTTGAGTTAGGAGGGGCGATGGAGAGGTGGTGACCGTCCTCTGGAAACTTGTGACAGAGAGCCTGGTGGCCAGCAAAAGGAATGGCTGGTAAGGGAGGAGCCAAGCTGTCCTTCTGGACCTGGAGTTCAGCTCTTTTTCAGGTGGTGGCAGAGGACCAGGGTGTATGCAGCTTAGAATCACTTCACGATGGGCAGGGCCTGGAGTAGCCATCCAGAATGCGAGTGGTGGCTGGCCGCAGGCTCTGTGTGGTTGTTCTAGGCCTGGACACGCTGTTTAGAGTCACAGGTTCCACTTTGTTGGAACTATTTTCTGAACCTTAAAGGATTTCTGGGGTTGACAACATGTGTTCGTCTGTGTATTCATTACTTCGGCAAATATGTACTGAGCCCCACCCATGTGCCCGAGCCATGCTGGGCACTGGTCCCCACCCATATAGGCATCCCTGTTTACCATGTGCATGTGAGTGCTAAGGAAATGCTTTTGTTGACTAGAACCATTCACTTTCCTTAACCTCAGTATCTCTGAAAATGCTTATTTTGAGACTTGAGTTACCGGTAAATATGGGAGACTTTTTGCATTGTGCCCCTGGGGTGGGGGCCATGCACCCATTTGGCAGTTCTGTGTCCTAAAGTATATGTTCTTTGTTTGACAGTCCTGGGGGAGAGGCCTCACTTGTTGGCTTCTTCCCTCTTTCCTGTTGGACAACCTGTCCCATAGTCCCTCCCCTTCTCCCCAAAGCCAGTATTCAGGGGTGCTTCTGGAAAGGGCTCAGTGAGTGCCCTTGTGGCTCTGGGCCATGCAGAGCAGGGAGGCCTGTGGCCTGCGGGGTCTGGTGACAGCTACCTTGGGGATCATTTACTAGGCCTCTGGAGCACCCCAGTCCAGCAGTGGCCAGGGGCTTGGAGGTGGGGGGGCCACACACGACTGTTTGGAGCAGCTTCTCTTCAGGACGGTGAAGTGGGTGTTATGCTCTTTGGCTCTTTTTTTCTAGTGACACAAAACAAGGGACACTTGGTGCTGGTGGATTCATGCCCTTTGGATTCTCTGGTGTCCTGTCGGGGGCAGCGACCTGCTTCTATGCCTTTGTGGGCTTTGACTGCATCGCCACCACAGGTATGGCGCCCGCCGGCCGAGTAGGGCCCGGGCTGTGGGCCGTCCTCTCCCGTCAGACAGGCTGGGCTAATTTTACCCACAGCTTGCTCTTTTCCTTCCTGTGGGCATGTGCTGCCTGCCGCTCTTTCACACATGGGTAACGTGTCGATTTGTAGCTTCCTGCTAATCTTTTCCCCCCTTTATCACTTCCCCAAGTGGCCATGCCTGACAGGAAAGTCTGCATCATGAACGTGACTAACCATTGTGCTGCTGGGATGGGATAATGACAGCATCGCTGCAGCCCGATTTCATATCTGGGCGTCATCCAGGAGAAATGAGGCCATTAAAAATACCGTTATCCGGGTGATTGAATAGGCTGGGCTCAGTCGGGCCTCCTGAATTTTCTCTGCCAAAGGAAACAAGGCTTTTCCTTGGCTGAACCAGGGCATAAAGGCTGAGAACACCATCCCTGGGTGTAATGGGTCCTCTGGCCCGTGTGTGGAGGGCCGTCTGTGGTTCCCAGGAGCCCGACGACCCTGGTTCCCATAGGGCCAAGCACGTCAGGGGCGTCATTTGTGGGTGGCATGGGCATCTTGTGGGTTTGTGGGGACGCCCCTCACTGTCTTGCCCTCCAGGGCCTGACTCCTTGCTGTTTCTAGGCGAAGAAGTCAAGAACCCTCAGAAGGCGATCCCCGTGGGGATCGTCGCGTCCCTCCTGATTTGCTTCATCGCTTACTTCGGGGTGTCTGCCGCCCTCACGCTCATGATGCCATACTTCTGCCTGGACAAGGACAGCCCCCTGCCTGACGCCTTCAAGCATGTGGGCTGGGAAGGTGCCAAGTACGCGGTGGCCGTCGGCTCCCTCTGCGCTCTTTCTACCAGGTGAGGCCTCTGAAGCTCTTGGGAGGGTAAGCTGTAGTAGGGCCACGTGAGGCCTGACACACAGGAGAGCCGCTCATCTCACTCTTTTCCCCTGAAATAGAACCAGCACCCCAACCCTGATGATGTGGCTTCTCCTCTTGTTGTTAGCTCATCCCATGAGTTGTTATTGATATTTTCATCCTGAAGCCTCTGAGGCCCACTTTCTGACATCTGCTCAGCAGGGGTCTGGCTTGCTGTCCCCAACCTTGGCCGCTGCACCAGGCCACCTTTTTGAACACTGTATTTTGGGCCTTTTTTGGCCATAAAACAGAGGCTACCTTGAAAAAGGGAGTAAATGCCTTTTTTTAAAGAAAGATTTTATTTATTTGAGAGAGCGAGAGAAAGAGCACAAGCCAGGGTGGGGGGGGAGGGCAGGGGGAGAGGGAGAAGCAGACTCCCCACTGAGCAGGGAGCCTGATGTGAGGCTTGATCCCAGGACCTTGGGATCATGACCTGAGGTGAAGGCAGATGCTTAACCAACTGAGCCACCCAGGCGCCCGGGATTAAGTGCCTTTGAGTAAGAAACATTTTACCCCCGATGTTTGCCATTAGCCTGTACATACAGGAAATATTTGCTAAACATTGATTTACCACCGAGAAATCCTCATGAGCCCAGTGATGCTTTTATTTTCTGTTTGATTTAGCTAGAAATACTGTGGGAATAAATACAAAATTTCCCTTTCATAAAAATTATGACTAGATCCCATGCATGTGTCTGTTAGGTTATGCCATTCTTTCACTGAGTACATATTCAACAGTAAGTGCTTTTTCGGGGGTTGATGCGTTGAATTTTGTCTTCCAGTCATGGGCTTCACCTAGTTTGGAGGGTGGCAGTTCTCGGTGAGAAGTTCAGGGCTCCCTCTCGGTGATATGCAGTGTGGTATACCACATAATGGTCACATTATGGTGCCTTTCTTTCCGATGGGCTAGTGTTACAAATGCATTTTGCCTTTTCCTCCCATCTAGTCTTTTAGGTTCCATGTTTCCCATGCCTCGAGTCATCTACGCCATGGCTGAAGATGGACTGCTATTTAAATTTTTGGCCAAAATCAACGATAGGACCAAAACACCAATAATCGCCACATTGACCTCAGGTGCCATTGCTGGTAAGAACTGAAACTAATCCCACATGCCAGTATTTTAATACTTGAGTTACTAGTCCCTAGGGAAAAATACCTTGAATTGTGTTGGAACACACACTGAGAAGTGTGAGAAGTGAGAAGTTGGAACTGGTCTTTTTAACTTTTGGGTTTCACCCTTGGAACCTGGTTTCTTGCAAGGTAACCACCCTTTTGACTAAAGGCGGAGGCCAGTTTTACAGAGGTTGTGATGGAATTCTCAAAAATTTTTGAATCCTTTTATTATGATTACCCTCTCATTGGATGGAGCTTGGAACACACACTGTCCCTTCAGAGCCATTTGTATTTCCCCTTTTCTGAATGTTCCTGAGTAGACTTTGGTGGGATGACGTTTTCTTGCATGGTAACAAGCCAAGAGACTTTTTGTTAGTACTGGAAATTCATTGTCCGTGTCTCTTAGCCTGTAGATTCTCAGGGGAATGAGAATCCCTTAGGATCAGTGTTTTATGAAACATGCTACCCGTTCTCCAGGAGACATTGGAGGTGTTGCTGGGGAGGCCAATTGCTGTAAGTTTATAAATAATGGCAGGCTCAGAGGGGATTTATCTTATCAAGTATCGGGTTCCCCACCAAGAGGGCAGTTTTGACAGCCAAAATCGGTACACAAAGAACCCTTGGAGCTATGTGATATTCCAGGGGCCCCTGATTAAGAAAAGGGGAGCATTGAAGGAAACTGATGTGCATACACATATGCTATTGGTTTTCTATGTTTTCTCCTTTAATAATTGCCTCTCCTAGCCCCAAGAGACAGGCATTATCCAGCCCATTGTACAGAGAGGCAAAGTGAGGATGTACACCCACACCCAGGAGATCTGGCTCTTGGTTCCTGGTTTGTTTTTATGCCAAAGTGGCTGGCTCCTTCCAGGGTCTTTTTGGGATATTAGGACATGTGATACCAGTTCAATCTGCACCACAGGGACTAGTCAAATAGCCATTGGTAAGACATTTTGACCATTTTAAGTGAATGAATTGTTGTTAGAGTAGTATCTGTGCCCTTAGCAAAGTGTGCTTAGTGTTGTGGGTTAATGTTATATAATGAAAGAAAGCTAGTTTTTCATTATTTAACAAATTTGTTGTGTAACTGTGCATTCTTGACTGTGATCTCAGTGGTCAGGTTAAGGGACACCATATGTCAGAATATGACCGATATATTTAAGAGATTAAGGAATGGGAAATAGTAAATGTTCTTTCAGTATTTACATGTAATTTGATCATATTAAAGACTCACCTCTAATTCCGTTCCTGTGCTGATCAAGGGAGCTCAAACTATAATCTTTAAAGTGACTGTAAAGTACATGCATTCACCAAACCAGGGATTTACTCTTTCCTTTTGTTTGGCAGGAGTGGTAAATAAGTATTTGGTTTTCTGAAATCACCCCACATGGAGAAAGTTTGGCTTGAATTTCTGTGTGAGTGGGAATGTAGGCATCTGTGGCATGCACAGTTGGATACTATTCTAATTATCCAGAAGGCCCCACATTGCTCTTTGATCCTGTTATTTACCCTCAATTGAAATTTGTTTTAGTTGGAGTTAATCTGTAGGGGCTTGAGAAATATTTGTGGAAAAGTAATGGTTTTGTGCTTCTGTTTTAACTTGTGTTGATGGCCTCTGAGGTGAAAATATCCCAAAGTAGATCTATCCAAGTTATTTTTTAAATGGGAAACTTGACATGTGTACCCACATAAATAGAGATATATACTCTCACAAAAATTACAAAAGATTTTCAAATAAGCATGCATGTTGTATATTTTTTTTAGTGGGGTCATGGTAAAGGTACTGATACTGTTTGGAGATAACAGTGCTTTCCATGCTCAGCTGCGTGGGTTAGGAGCCCCCGTGAGTCCTCCCAGAGCCCTGGACTTGACCTCATCCACCTGCTCATCACTGTTGCCTCCTGATGCCTATGTTGGATGATACACTCAGGGAAGCCAGAGACTATCTGGTCTGCCCTGTTTGATGGTGTATATTTTTGATGGTCTACACTGACCGGCATACTCTCAATGAGTGCCAGATGGATGATGAACGTGTGGGTAGATGATGGATGAATGGATGGATGGATGGATGGATGGATGGATGGATGGATGGTTGGATGGCCAAATAGATGGATAGGTGATGGGTGATGGACAGACAGAGGATGGATTGATGGATGGATGGATGGATGGATGATGGGTGGATGGTGTGTGGGTAGATGGAGAGATACACCTAACTATGTATGAGTCTGCATGGTGCAGAGAAAGACATGCTGGACTCAGAGCCACAAGAACCTAGTTGAGATCCTGACTTTTCCACTTCCTAGCTGTGTGACCTTAGATAAGTCTCTCAACATGTCTGACTTCAGTTTCTCAATCTGTAGTGTAGGATAGCTTGCAAAGTTGCCATGAGGATCAATAAAGGTCATGTTGATGAAAGTGCTCTCTATATAAATGTTAATTATCATTACTGTTTGCTGAGGATCATGTATGTGATTTAATCCTGAGCGTTTCTTCCCTTTAAGCAATGTCACAGTGTCTTTCCATGGAAAGGGCTGGGGTGAGGAAGCAAGAAAAAGCCGCTCCCCCTGTGTGCCTTGGGTCACGGGTGGGTGGTGGTTCTGGCTATCCATGATAGTGGGCCATCCTTGGATCCTGATGCTTGTCTCCTCCCTAGCTGTGATGGCCTTTCTCTTTGACCTGAAGGACTTGGTGGACCTCATGTCGATTGGCACTCTCCTGGCTTACTCTTTGGTGGCTGCCTGTGTGTTGGTCTTACGGTATGTATGGCTCTTCTGGGTTCCATGATAGAAATGGAGATGCATCCTGTTAGCCTTTTAAAGGTTCAAGTTAATGATTTATATGGTGTAAATTTTAGGTTGTTGATAGTTAGTTCCTTTGGGAACTGCCCTGGAGAGGGTGGGATTTGGTGGTTCAGAGCCTAGTCACAGAGAACATCATTGAAAAGAGTCAGGGGGCTCACCTCTCACTATCACGTGCCCTCATTTTTCTGGCGGGATTTTAGGAGGAGAGAGACCGGTTCTCAGCCCACCTGTTGAAGGCTTAGGGTAATGATTTCAGTTTGGTCCACGTTCTTAGGTTGGAGGGGACTAGGGAATAGTCCTGGTGGGAACTGGGAGAATTCCAGTTGTGTGAACCTTAGGGCAGTGTGGTGCTTCTGCAGCAGCACTGCACTCTACCCCACGAGGACTCAGTCCCAGGATGTGGCGTGGAGTGGCCAACATGGATGTTACGTAAGACTTCCCAGGCTCTGGTGCTTTTAGCTTCGTGGAGACCAGGCTAGCCATTAGAAAGCAGCTCGGGGCCTAGGCTTGGCGTCCTGGTGTTCTTGGCTGCCCCAGTGCCCCCCTCCCCAAGCACGCCCCTGGGCTCCAATTTTCCTTTGCTCTGGAAGGACAGGGCTCTGCTTCCTCACTACCAGGAAAGGCTCAAGGGAGCATTTATCATGAGAATATGGAGTCATGGAGACTCAGTGGTGGTCACCCAGGAAGAGCCTTGTTACTTCTTTCCGGGTATTTATACTGGCAAGGTCATTTATTTCATTTGTTCCATTTCGAATGTGCTTAGCACCTACTCTCTATAAAACTTGGGTTGAACCTCAGTAGTGGCTGTGCAGCATCGGCTAAAACTAGTTTGCTAGTTCTGTGACCACTTATTCCTTCCTGAGGGCTTGACACTGGAATCTTTTCTGAGGTCCCCTCACATTCATAATTGACCAAACGGTGTTAACATAAATGAATCAGTAAAAAAAAATGGTTAAATATCTTTATGCTCACTCTTAGATTATATGCAAAATAATTCAGAAAGCACTCTGTTCTTGGTAGCTGGTAGAAAAGATTGGAGCTCTGTTCATTTTGGGTGGGAAGATAAGGAGCCTCGTTTAAAATGAATGCTTTACTTGCAGGAAGCTTATGTCTTGGAAATCATGCCACAGGCTCAGTCCTTTAGCCAGCTCTGTAAAGTTATTTATTCTAAGGCATTTAGAGTTTTAAAATAAATTGATCCAGTTAAGTCTCACAAACAGAATTTCTCAAATCTGTCAGCCTGCAGACATATTTCTCTGGCTCTCGGTGCCAAACGGGGTCCTAATGTTACTGTTCTCTATTTCTGCTTGTACTCTTAGCTCCCTTCAGCCGTGGTTTTGTTGGAAGTGGCCTAATACTGTAAGCAGCCAAGGGGCAGTGCTACTTCTCAGAGCAAGAGAAGCCATCTTAGGACATTTCTCTGGGTTTGTTCATGGGGAAGGTCAAGTTGCCTCAAATCAGAGTCCCCAAGGAGGTTGTTGCCCAGAAGCAGGAACAGAAAGAAGGCGAGGACTCAGTTCTCCTCCTCTGTATCTACTTTGCCAGAGAATGCATCAGTCTGACCATCTTCCCATTTTTATGCCTTGTGTCCTGGGCAACTTACTTTGAAAGCTTACTAAGAACTTGAGTTAGTACGGGTCCTTTTGCCTAATGAAAGCACATGATGATGGTCATACAATACATGTCTTTACAGGTATCAGCCAGAGCAACCTAACATGGTATACCAGATGGCCAGAACTACCGACGAGCTCGATCAAGTGGACCAGAATGAACTGGTGAGCACCAGTGATTCCCAGACAGGCTTTTTACCAGAAGCAGAACGGTTTTCTTTGAAAACCGTACTCTCACCCAAAAATATGGAGCCTTCCAAATTCTCCGGGCTAATTGTGAACATTTCAACTAGCGTCATAGGTAAGAGCCTGCCCTTCCCTGCAAGGTGTTTAGGGGTCCTGCTTGTTGGTGTTGCAGGGTTTCTTGTCAAGGGTGGTGGAGGCAAATGCTTTAAGGGATAAACACCTGTCTTGCTACTGGACTGTGATGTCAATTATTCTGCCCTTATGGTAGTTGATGGCTGCAGAAACGGAGGCTCCCTCTCCATGGGTTTTGGGGAAAACTGAGGATATCTGTGGGGATTTGAAAAAAAATTGAATTGCACCCCTCTCTCCCTCCCTCCTCCTTAGCAATTCTTATCATCACCTTCTGCATTGTGGCCGTGCTCGGAAAGGAGGCTCTGACAGAAGGGGAGTTGTGGGCAATCTTTATGCTTGCCGGATCTGTCCTTCTCTGCTCCCTGGTCACAATCATCATCTGGAGGCAGCCTGAGAGCAAGACCAAGCTTTCATTTAAGGTGAGCAGCTCTGCCTGCAGGGAACCTCCTGGTATGTTCCTGTGGCAGGTGCCACAGACCCCGGCACTCCTGCGCCCTGTGTGGGCCCTGCCAGGCCGGGTTGTCTGGAGGAGAGGGGCTTGCCGGCCAGCCTCAGGGACCGTGAGGCACAGACAGTGCCTGCTGAGGGGGCACCTGACCCTGGAAGAAGGCACCCCTCCCCGCCCCGGCTCTCAGGTGTCCCGGCGCAGCTCACTGCAGGGGCAGCTCATGCATGTCCGCCTAGCATACGTGTCCGGCTCATCGCTTTACCAAGCCTTGGACATGATCGAGGCGTGTGCGTTTTAGATTCACAAGTAATGAAGCAGTTCACTGTTGGAGATAAAGGGGAAGTCCCTCTTCTAGCCCCTTCTTTAACAGGAAAATAGCAAGAGGGGAAAATTAGAGTAGAGCTCACTTTGGCACTTGGTAGCTTAGAACCAAACTCCCACCTATTCGGGTTTGCCTGCGTCGGTGTGCGGCTGTGTGTATGTATGTGGGTTGGGGTGCACTCACTTTCTCCTCCCTGTATAAATGGCGCAGTCCATCTGAACCTCAGGGGTGGGGGCTTTTCCTAGTTCGTTTTGCTAAATGACTCAAAGGCGCCGTCCCCTCGCACTCCACCCCCTGCAGACTTGACACCGCCACCCGCCGTCTTTGCAGGTCCCCTTCCTGCCGCTACTTCCCGTCCTGAGCATCTTTGTGAACATCTATCTCATGATGCAGCTGGACCGAGGCACGTGGGTCCGCTTTGCAGTGTGGATGCTGATAGGTACGTGAAGTCATGGGTTTCACTGTGACGGCGTCTCTCGGAGGCCCCCCCACCCCAGTCCCTGAGCCTATGCCATACAGCTCATTTGTCTTTCCTGCAATTTGGCTGGATGCCTAGCCTCTCTTGTTTCCAATCTCAAAACGTCATGAAAACACATGTAGGTCCGCGGTTTTCTCTCAGGAGCTCCTAGTAGATCGTGGGTCCTCCCCTCCCGTTAAGATACTTTTCATTTTAATAGCTCTTGCCTGAACTAGTTATGTCATTGCTAGAGTTGAAGGTAATGAGAGCGAGGCGATGAGTCTGCTGTTGACCAAGCACCAGTTCATCTCCCCCCACAGGGGAAAGCCTGGGCTGTGCCTCCCCAGCCCAGCCAGCACCTGCCCACTGGCCCATGTGGGAGGTTAGGGGGTCACCGTTTGGGTGCTGGTCCTTTTGTAGGCTGCCCATGGCCCACCCCCTCCCTGGGTATCCAACCCCAAGAATTGCAGGAAATGGACTCGGGCTCCTTCCTCAGTGCTGATGACCAGGGAGCGGGCCTTGCCCCTCACCCCTCAGTGTCGCTGACAAGAGCTGTAACCCCAGGACTGTGTTTCTGCCGAAGCCCTCAGCCCTGGGTCACCATACTTCGGGGCAGATGGCTGCCGCCTCGAGATCCTTCTCTGTAGGCCCCACATTGTCTGCAAAGTGTGGCCTGAGGCTGGTTTGACAGACATCCCCTGCAGAGCCTTTCTGTGAGAGAGTTGGCTCAGGGTGTGCAGTGGTGTGTGATCGGCATACATTCCTCCAGACCTGGTGGCTCATTCCCTGGTGGAGGTGGACAACACCTGCTTCTAAGCATCCCAGATGTGAGCTCCTGGGCTCCAAGCCATTAGCTTATTTCCAGGGCTTTTTGTGGCTGAGCCCTTCCTTTGAGGCCTGCTCTCCTTGTGTCTCTGGCACAAGGGTGGCCTCAGGGCCACATGGGCTGTAGTCCTTGAGTGGAAGCTCACCAGATCTCTGGGCCCCACCACAGACCTTTGAAGTCCCGGACACTGGAACGGACTGAACTCCTGTGTTATACACACTTGCAGGCAACTTGAATGCCGCCTCCCGTCTGACAGTCACATATGTAGAGAAAACAGAGATGGTGGGGACTCCAGAGGCCTTGTGAATAGCCTGGGGAGCCATGGTGCCCTTTGGAAATCCCACCCTGGCAGGGAACAGGACGACCCCACCAGTGGCCATGGGGCACCAACCAGGTGGCCAATGGATGAAGAACCTGCGGGAGCAGCACCTCTCCCGGGGTCCCCAGCCTGGCTGCTCAGTGTGTAGCTCAGGAACCGGCCCAGTGGGAGGCTCTCCAGAAGGGAGTGTGCCTGCACCACATCTCGAAGAGGCGAGATGGCCACTTCTGCTGATTGTAGTTGAAGAGTCATGTCGTTTCTCCAGATACTTTGGGAAGTTGTACCACGAGGGCTGCTTGCACTGGGTTCAGGCCCGGGACAGGCAGCATGGAGAGGCTTTCCTGGGAGCCATGCGACGGACCCAGGCCTGCTCTGCCTACTGTGTTCACATGTGCTCTCTGCTCTTGGCCTACAGGCTTCATCATCTACTTTGGCTATGGTTTGTGGCACAGCGAGGAGGCGTCCCTGGCCGCTGACCAAGCAAGGACTCCTGATGGCAATTTGGACCATTGCAAGTGACACGCAGCCCAGCCCCCAGAGGTGGCAGCAGCCCTGAGGGATGCCCGCAGAGGTCCTGGGAGCACCTCATTCTCTCCACCAGTGCATCAGGACCCACCCACATCTACAAAGCCCCCACGCAGCAGAAGGTGCAGCTACTTGAAATGCAGCCTCAGCCCACAGCCCGTGTGTCCTGCCTAGACTTGCTCTGCGGCAGGTGCACAGGGGCCCGTCACCTCGGACAGCTCCCTGGCGGGGGGCCACTTGGCTGCAGCTGGCCACTGTGGCTCCTAACATCCCTCTGAACACAGAAAGCAGCCCCCGTCCCCGCCAGCTCCATGCCCATGCTGCTGTGTCCTCAGGCAGAATGGAGGTCACTGTTTCTTATCACCTTGGGGAATCTGGGCCTCCCTCCCCAGGGACCATGCTGGTATTGAAAATGTGTACACTCCAGACTCTCAGTAGCCATCTCCCCACTTGGCCCCAAAGGCTGACTGTAGAGGCAAGGGGAGTACTCCAAAACATATGTCCCAGAGCCAAAGGACAGCAGTTTACTTTAAAAAGGAAGAGCAAGACTGGTTTCCTTCTCCCACTCCTGTTCTCTGGGTTGCTTCCCGAAGAGGTCGTGAGGACTGTGAGCTCTCCCCTCCTTCCCCTTCCAGGCAGGGGTTTCGCTCTGACACCAGACAGAACTGCGCCACACCCCAGCGGCAGTACCGAGGGCAGGCGTTTCCGTCACTGACAGGGAAGAAGGGAGCGCCACTGTGGGAACAAGGCAGGAGGGCCACCTCCACCCCTCACACCTGAGCGCGGGGACCTCCCTCAGCCGCACTCTCCCTCTCCAGGCCTGGGCCGGTTCTGGCTGCTTCTGGTATCTTGCACCAATGGCTGTGTGCCCTGAGTAACTGGAGCATGGCACTGCGTTCATGTGAGACTGGCCTTAGATTAGCAGAGCTTTAGAACACTGTTTTCTAGGGTCTTTGCCAATCACTAAATCCTGCCCTCTGATGCTTGCGGGTCAGCGTCTTGAGTCTTTTAAGGTTCTCAAGGCAGGTGTCTGCTCATTCTGAGGTGACAGTGCCAGTACCCCAGCTGCTTCTGGCCCCTGACATGATCTGTTTGGCCCCCCTCTTAGATAGAATCAAACTGAGTCCTCCTGTTAGCATCTGTGAATCACTCCAAATTAAGTTGGCGCTTAGTGTTAACTTGGAAAATGGCCAAATATTTGCTCGGTGTGTTGTTGAGAGCATGGGGTCCACACATGAGAATTTGAGGTCCTATTGCTGTCCCTATCATGTATGTGTTGTCCAAACGTTGTGGGTTTGTGTCTGGGTTCGTAACCCGGCCCTGGACCTCTTGCCTCCATAACTCGGAGAGCCTGCTTCGGTGCCCACATGCAGCGTGCACGTTCCCTCCCTCCCGGGCCCTGCAGCACCCCACACTCACACCGGCTCTGCAGAGAGGAGCCCGAGGAAACAAGAACGCTGATGCAGTCTTCCTTCCGATGAGAGTGTATCTTGGGAGACGGAAGGGCCCTGCGTGGATGGGAGGGGAGGGAGGAAGACACCCCAGAAAATGTAAATGCTGCTTTTGAAGCTCAGACTCCCATTTCATCCCCCTGCAGCCTTTGACACAAATCTGGTAGAAAGAAGCCTGATAAATTGACGGCACTTGTCTGATCTCCCTCAGTAGGTTCAGAGAGAATTGCAAGAATTCGTGGAACCGCCGAACGGCAGGGTCGGTCAGTGGAGGGCTGGTGGGCGAGGGACCCAAGGGCTTGGCCTCTGCCACAGGCCCTGATCACCTGCCTGGAGGCTTTATTCTAAATATCATTTGTGAATGTTACAGAGGGAGGAACATAAGAGCTCAAAACATGGGTTTCCAAAGAAAGGTATTTAAATTTATGTAGATTGGTGCTGTACAATATTTTGATAAATATTAACTTATTTTGTTGGGGTTTTGGTTGTCTGCTGTGTTCTTAGGGTTTGTTAGGTATTTGTTTGCTTGATTTGTCTGTTATTTTCCCACATAGGCAAAGAGAACTTGAGGGAAAGAGAGTGTCCGACAAAAGTGTAGGGGAGAGAGAATTTTTTTTTTTTTTTACTTTAATTTCTTTTTCTGGCTGAAATATCTGTGCAAGACAGCATGCAACAGACTGTGTATACAGCTGACATTTCAGCTGGCAACATGTATCCTACCAGCTGACAAGGTGTGTTTCCCTGAGACCATCCCGTGGAATGAGAAGCTCCTGGTGCGTGAGGGTCCTCCTTCCTCACCCCAAAGTGGGAAGTGCCTCCAGAAGGCTCACCAGCTCAGGAGTGAGAAGCCCCTGCCCCCTCCCCCGTCAGGGGGAGGAGCCTCCCACTTAGAAAAGGACACCTGAAGGTGCCACAGAGAAATCGTTCTCATGGTTCCTGTGCTTTTATTGAGATTAACTTTTGTGCAGTTGCCAGGGGTTTTTCTCTTCTGTTTATGAGGATGGTGATGTAAGGAATGGTGTTGATAGGCTTTTTCTTATCCCATCCTTCATTCCTTCCCCAGAAATACACACACACACACACACACACACACACGCATATACACACAGGCAAGAAATAACCACCAGAAGTGCCCAACAATTGGCCTCCCAAATCCCCAAGCAAGAATATGATTCTCGGTTTTGTGGCTTGGCCAGTATTTTCCTAAATCATCAGAAATTCCACACTTCTAGAGACATGCCCTTTGGAAATATTGTGTCTGCTTTTATCTGTGGCCCAGCCCCAAATACCCACATCGGAAAGACCCATTTGTGTCAAGTAAGCACCCCTTCCTGCCTCCCATATTCCCCCCCCCGCCCTCCATGTTTTTTTGACCCCATGAATCAGACTCACAAAGAGGCTAGCAGCGGAGCCCCAGGACCTCTGCTGAAGAGTGAGGGGTGTGCGGGGTCTCCAGGGAAGTAGTCCGGCCCCGTGGGCCAGTGAGGCTGAGCCTGCTTCCAGGAGGGGACCTTGGGCAGGAGATTGGGCCTCTGCACACTCCTCACCCCATCCCACTGGCTCACACCCCTTCCGCCCAACTTGGGGCCCGATTTGTTTTTCCAAACCAATAGGAGTGGATAGGGCCATCTTTCCTAGGGTGTTTTGGAAAGACTCTAAATTGATACTGTTGTCAGAACCCCCCCTCCCTGCAGCTCCCCTACTTGTGGTTTTGTTCCACTGAGTCATCTCTATCAAGAGATCAGCCTTCTGGTCCCGTGTGCTGGTGCCGTGGTTCGGCTATCACAGGCCTCCCGCCTGCCCTGTGTGCACTCTGGGGGCTTCCCCCACCCCTGGCTCCTGAGGCTCTGGCGCACCCCCTTCTGCACTTTGGGCGCAGCCTGTGTGTGCACCTGGTTGAGGCCCCTGGTCCTTGCTTGTTGGGCTTTGTGGATGGCAGTGGGCATGAACTGGGTTATACACTGTCCTCCTGCCACTGAGCAGGTGTTCCAAGCTGAGTGAGTTTCTGTAGTCTGTGTAGGATGGCCTCTAGCCTGACACCAGACACAGCCTTGAGTACAGGGTCAGAGGCTGGTTCCTTGGGTGAGTGTGGACGTGCCTCAGAAAGGCCCCCCAGCCAGGGTGTAGGCGGGCTCACAGGCATTCCGGGGGCGTCGTCGGGGGAGGGTACCTGCTGGCGCTGTGCCGGGACCGTCTTCTGCTCCGCGTGTCTCCCTTTCACACGTCTCATAAAAGCTGAGCTTTCTGTCAGCACCCGAGAGCCATCACCACGAAGACGGGAGTGAGGCCTCTTGGCGCCAGGCCCCATCACCACTGTGTTCTAGCGTGGATGGGCGTGTCTGTGGCACGTCCACACTCTGCCGGCCATAGGTGTGCGATGCTTGTGTGCTTGTGTGTGGAATTGTTAGAGTTCCCAGCAGGTGGAACTAAATATATGTTATGTGTGGTTGTTATGTATAATTTAAGATATATGTTTGACATCATAATGAGAGTATTGTATGTAAGGCTCCTCAGGGAGAATGAGATCTACATTTTGTCAGACTCTTACGGACTTTTTTTGGTAATGAAATGCTTTATTGATTCAGTGGTGCAAGAAGCTGCACTCCATATTTCATCATCATAGTTATGAGGCCTGATGGGTTTTTATGGCCAAAAAAAAAGTCAACTGACTTTGATATTTGTCACTATAACCCAGAGTCTTTTTGTGCCCATTGCTTCATTGAGTGGCAGTGCTCTTTCAAGAGGGACGCGGACCGGCCAAGGGTTATCAAGGAACCCCCCAGATGACCCTGTAAGTGTGTTGAACTGCCGGCTGAAAACCCCCGCCATGAGATAAAGACCTTGGCGGTGAAGTCCAACAAATTGATCTTCTCAGGGTATGAGCAGGGTCGGGAAGCGGGGCTAGGAAGATGCGCTTTGACTTTGTTAATTTATTAACAAGGTATATGATTTTGTGTTTCTCAATGACAAACTTTTTTAAGTTTGGGACTTATTTTCGATTTGAGAAATTGTAATATATATTTAAAGTAAGTTTCCCGCTTAAGTTGTGCCTTTTCAGCATCAATGGGTCTAAGAAGCACAGAGGGTGATGATCCCAATGAGGGCTGGTTTATTATCAAACCTGCATAGCTGTGGTTTCTCCAGCAAACTTTCTTCTACTGAACATGGAGCCATTATTAAAAGAATTGTGTTTATTATGTAAATTGTATAATATTTTTTTGCTTGTTTGATGTTCTATTTTTCTAATAGTTTTCTTATAGTTTCTTATAATTGTGATACTAGATTTAGATTCTGATGCCCACTGCAAACCAGGCTGTCTCTGCTGGCCCCTCCTGTTTTTATCTGAAGGACAAGCATAGATGTCCATTGCCTTCAAAAAATGTGAAACTCTGCTCTGTATCCCATTTTTGCTGACAACACTGTATGTTGACAACTTCCTACTATATGTTGTAAAATCAAATTATTTTGTGGTACATTATCTCATGCTTCCGCAAACTCTAATAAATTCTTTCTATGGCTTCAGCATGCAGTGTGATCTCAAGAATTGCAGCAGCTCTCGGCGGGGTCCCCAAGCTCTGGCAGTGCCCCACAGAGAGTTCCAGATCCCGCCCTTTGCTGCTTCAGTCTCCTCCTGTTTCCCCACAGCCGGATCTTGTAATGTCTCATTTTCCTTCAGCCATTTGGTGCAAATGCTCATTCCAAGGACTAGCACCTCAACCAGGGAATCCCCCAGCCCTCACTTAGGATCCTCTCATGCAACTCTTCCCCCCCCCCCGCCCCCCACTCCTTCCAGACTTGGTTTGGGTTTGAGCGGGGACGTCTTCGCACCCAGGTTGCTGCCAGCCAAGGGCATAAAGCTGCTCATCTGCCAAAGCACTTGGGTGCCCGGGCAGCCAAACCACCTCGCACCAGGCGCCCCTTAGCCCTGCACTTCCCTCCACACACACCGTCTGTCGGGGGGGATGGGGTGGGGGA